TTGTTCGGCGGCAAAAACGCTGAAGACAGCGAATCGAAAGCGAACGCAAAAGAAACGCTGCCAAAACGCGCGAAGAGCGTCAACTTGCCGCGTTGGTTTGAGCGCTTCCGTAAGCCACCATGCATTTAAAACGCGGTGATTTTTCCGCCGCGAATTATTCGCTGCCGCCGCGTTAAAAACGCGCCAGTTTGTGGGGACCTTTATACAGCAGGCGAAGAGCCGACAAATTCAAATCGATTCACCTGTCACATTGAGTTCAAACGCTCATTTCCAGCACTACTGCTCGGACGCCAGCAACGCACTATCGAATATTTTCGGTGTCCAATGGCAGATGAAAAAGTGTTCTCACCGATTTTGTGAGAGCGATATTTTCATGGTTTGAATGGGAGAGGAAAATGAATAATCGTTGAAGAATGAGAGATGAAAATATTGTCTATTTTCAGCTTTGCCAAAAGCACCTTGAGTGATGTGTCACTTATCTTGCAGCTGAGCGAGAATTTCGATCTCTGGTAAAAAGTCAAGATGAACAGTCTCGGTAGCTTGTTCACTGAACTTTCCCAAAGCAAACTGCATTACTTTGCAAAATTGTGGAACGTGAAATCTCAAAATATGAAACTTCTAACTGTTAGGAAGTTCTGCTTCTCTCCATAATTTAGCTTAACGTGCGATGTACTGGTAGTATTCAGAATCTAGCATGTAGGGTAAATGTTGGCTTCGGCACCCATTGACTGTTTTCGGCAACCAAAATTTAAACGTTAATTTCACTATATTTTCCCATCAACGCACTTCCCTGAATGTGTCCAAACGATTGTTTAGCCTTTCAGCTTCAATCTGATTATATTTGAACGATCGAGCAATCCAGTAATGCTACATTTTTCTTCAAATAAAGCATACGCACTACAAAATGAGGTTGATCTCGAGTTGCCGATAATAGAACAGCTGGTTAACACGCAGTTCTAATGGGAAGGTTGCCGAAGAAAAAGAGACTGCCGACAATAGTCACACTCACCTGAGAAGTTTGGAGCGTTGTAAAAACGCTTTCAAAACGTTTTGAAAAATTCTGTCGATTGGAATGGATAGAGAAGCAAGCAGCAGATGAATGTAAACAAACAGACACATCATATATGTGCGTGACGCTGAGAAAATGCTAGTAGAAGTGCAGACGCTGCTTAGATTGACGAGAATACGTAAATTCCCCTATTTGAAGCACGACTCATATACCTTCTGAAACCGTTCAAGGGTCTGAAAAACATAAACTTATTAAAGAGATTTTTAGCCTTAGGCTAGTTCATCTCTTAAATTTTATCATCTCTATGCTATATAATATAGCATTGATACCATTTGTAACAATCAAATGGACCCGTGCTGTGAATTGAAAGGTGTTCAATTGGCATATTGGCTGTATCTTGTTATATTGCTTCTTGTGACCCACTGCTCAACTACTTCGGCATCAATACATTCAACGTAGTGGCGTTAATTATGCCAAGCGTTATGTACAGCACTGGCTAAAAGAATCACATAGGAGGGGTTATTTAATGCAAATGAAGGAATTTCTAGGAAGCTTCTGGTTTGCTCCATTCTGTCAAAATTTTCATGAATATTTGTCAATGATCCGGACCTGTCCGACAAGAAATTCCTCGGAGCCTAACAATATGGACATGGGTACGATGAATTATGCCCCATAATTCCAAGCAAAATTTTAATAATTTTCAGGTCACCTGCAACCACAGCTTCTAACCTGTTCAACTCTAACAGACTAGTCCAAATTTGGGATATGTTTGAAGACTATACTGGAATCAAAGGAACAACAGCTAGTAACAACAGCAGTGGCTTAAAATTCTTCTCACCAGCCTTAGAGCGTTCAATGGCTTCTTTCTGTACCAAGTATAATGTAATCTTCAGGAACCGAACTCCACCATCAATGTCACTTTTGAGGAAGAAATCCTTTTCCTCAATGTTCCTTCCATCACAAACGAACACAACTAATTTTGGGACATTGTTGCTATGTACAACCAGTTTGAAAGTAATTCTTCTCCGTTAATATCGAAAGGCAAATTAGTTACTTGGATACAAAGCTGGGAATCCTCTGAGGTTTGATAACAAATAACAAATCCACTATCGCTTGTGATGTTTTCTCTGACATTAAGAACTCACAACACTATCCCCCAGCATTATCTTTCAAAATATGCAGCATATTCTCGTGCTGTTGAACTTTAGTGCACCAATGTAACTTTCCTTTTCCAATTTCCGAGAATCAAAGTTTATACATATTCACAGTGCGTGGTTTCTTTTGCTTATTGAAAAGAAGAGGTCGTCCTCTTTATTTCTTCGGAGTCAAAAAAAAAAGATAAAGGGGAAATTGATGTAATGTTGGCCTAAATGCCCCTAATTTAGGCCCATACATAAATTCAGTAATCGACTAAATGTTCAATAGCGACCAAAAATATCCTGTAGTATCCCTATGACACATTCATCTAGATAAAATTGATAAAACTCGATTACTTTTTCAAATGGACGTATCAGCTTTTGTAAACAATGCATTTGATCGTCAATTTAGCGTAACTGGTACCTCGCACACGCATACTAACACCACTATCAGGTAGGGGAAAATTTCCCCTGTCTGATGGTAGTGTTAGAATGCGTGAGCAAGCTGCTTTTTAGTGATGGGCCCAATCTTACATCCGAAGGACAACATTAGAGCCATTTCTCTTCTGGGAAGACTTATATGAGCAGCCACGCATATCTCACATTGTCAAGCCTTTCAAAGCATCGGTATTAAAAATAGAAAATTTCAAGAATTTTAGAATAATTGTACAAACTTGTCCACTTCTTGTTTCATGCTTGATATTAAATTAGTTAGAAAACAGCTCCACATCTTGTTTAAATTTATTATTTGAATTGTTTGTGCGAATAACAATAGAACAATATAAACAAATGCGAGTAGGATAAAACCAATTTGTTATGTCAATATCTGGTATATAACGATCCTTGATTATTTGTCGCGCGTTTTCGGAAATAGCTCTTAAATTCACCTTTTTTGATACACAGAACACAAACACTTTACAACAATTTTCTTCATGTGCTTTCGGCTCCATCGCAAATATCAATCAAAAGCAATCAAACAATCAATCAATCTCTGTTTAATTCAGACTGGAATTACGTAGGTCTATACAATGTTTTTCTTCTACTGCATGGAGTAGAAGTCATTGAACTGAACTTCAACACACCTACTGGGATGTAAAAGTTGTCCCCTGCCAATAATGGGGGAGCCTAGAGTGGGGAGTCCTATCTTATAGCGAATTCGTTTATTATTCAGTTCCAACCTCGGGTTTCAAGATTGGGTCTGCTTTAAAACTTAGCTCAGGTTGAGCTTCGCACTGACAAAAAGTTCGGTTTCGCACTGGGTTCCAACCCCGATAATAAACAAATTCGCTAGAAGTTGGCTATTTGTTTGCTCACAAGCAGATGATCATAGGTTCAATTATCAAAACATCCACATAAAATCAAGACCAACAATTGAAATGGCCTTAACTCCATTTTGTAAACAAACCTTGTAAGGCCATTTTCTCGTGAACGTTATGGTCTGTTATCTGTGATCTTTGGTCTAACTTCTGCGTCTGTTTCAATTGTCTAGGTGCATTACGGAGGGACGCTGGGCTTTTATATATATTAATTATGTAATCAAACTGTACTCTTGGTTGTACATAATCAATGTTTCAAAAATGCCTCAAAAGTTACTCTTATAAAAACTTTTTTATTTTTAGTTGTTCCATCCTGGAGTTGCTCCCAAAGCGTCCGGATTCTCTTCAAGAATTTATTAATAAAAATATAAAAAAAAATCTAAAATGCGTTTTTTGAGTTATTTCAATTAAAAAACCAAAAAAAAATGTCAGGGTATATGTGTAAACCAAATCGAAGATAGTCGACCACGATTTCAGGTTTTTTGAACTCATTCTGGATATAATCCCTCGGCTATAATTGGTTGTTTATGGAAAACTGATCAATACGCGGCACCGGTGGCGTAGTGGTAAGCGTGACTGCCTCTCACTCCAAAGGGTCTGGGTTCAATCTCAGTCGGCACAGTCGGGATTTTCTGATCACGCCGTTGGTCGGAAGCAAAGCCGTTGGTCCCTGGTGCATTAGTTTGATGAGTCGATAAAGGTAGGGTCCCTGGTGTGGGAGCTGCCTTCCTGGCCTCGGTAGCTCAGTGGTACTCAGTACGGAAAACAAGATCGACAATCAATGAAAACCTAAAAAAAAATATAATGCTGTAGCTCAGAATTGAGGCTTGGATCCAATTATAGCGAAACAAAGGCTGGCATTAGGAACAATCAACCCAGATCAATGCTTGCTGTACATAATGAATAAATTAATTTTCTAATGAAACGTAAAATTTTGAGAATAAACAAGAACTGACGCATGTGTGAATCAACTAATAATGTTTGTGAGATACACTTATGGTGGTAAGCTCCAACCGGTTTCATCATCAGATTAAATTCCGACAATTCTGATTGACGTCAATCTAAAAAAAAACTTTTAGCAGATCCTTCAATCAGGGCCAGTTTTAAAAGTTAATCTGAGTTGAAGCTTGCCTTAGATTTTCAAAACAAAAATCTATCTATCGTCAATCTATCGGTCGAATCTGTTCAAAATAAGCTTCTGTGCACATTTTTAGTATCATCGATAGAAAGAGAGTCTTAATTGTTGGCCTAGACCAAAATTTGAAACTGTGTCTCCTAAACATTTTGTTTTGTTTTTACGAATGGAATTGCACCTTTGGTCATGGTCGAAAGTTTATATTTTCAAGCCGGCGGAACATGTTTAGCCTATCTTCTAAACACCATACATTTCTATAATGGCTTGTCATCGCTCAGTAAACAAAATCAGTAAACTTTGATCACAATAAATATTTACTGCAAAAATAAACTTTTTTGAAACTGTACAACCATAATGAATGAATAAACATGCTAATTTTACGATCGATATTTTTCTCATTTCAGGCTTGGGTTTCCGTCCACTTCCTTCAGAAGACAACGTCGAAAGTACGCTAATCTGGTACAAAGGCACCGAGGAGAAGAATTTCAAGCAATGGACTGATGCATTGGACGATTTCCTCCAAGGTGAGTTATCCCGAAAATCCCAAACGGTTTTCATTTTGCATCTCATAGTGTGTCACTGCCATCAAATCGTTAATCTTCCGTGCTCAGCGGCAATCGTATACCCACATGCCTTTTCCGCGAAACGCTCAATTAGCGATGCAACCTATTGAATTTGAGTACAAATTCTTATGCAAATAAAATTTTTTTTTTAATAAACGTGGAGAGAATCACCCCGCACATTTAATTAATAAAATAATGGCCTGATGGAGTTGAGCCAGACATTGAGGCTATTTTCGTATTGTTTATGATACTTACCATTTGGGTGTCACTTCACTCTCGTGATGTCGCGCGATTTTGGTAGATCATGTGAGCCGCAACTGCCACACTGCCTTTCACGTTCTGTGGAAAAGGTTAGCACAGCACAACGAGTGTAACTTGGCATGGCACGCCTGGTGCAAAATATGATCTTTCTGCTATTTATAAACCCTTCGGAGCGATGAACAATTCCGTCATAAATCCTGATCATACAGCAATGATGAGTATGCAGTACTAAAAATTAATCCTTCTATTTAACCTGACGCAGAATACAGAACACCTGGCCAGATTTCGGGCCGAGGACAAAATATCTACAACTGTGATTACACTCAGCTACCACCAGCAAAGACCGTATGCGATGTCGACATCAAGCAGTATGGTCCATGCACCCTGGAGAACCACTACAACTACCACAAGAGCGCCCCGTGTATATTCCTGAAGCTGAACAGAATCTACGGATGGATTCCGGATTGCTTTAACGATTCCTCCAAGCTGCCAGGAAACATGCCCAAGGATCTCCAGGAATACATCAAGAACATTGACGAACGGGAAAAGGAAACCGTAAGCATGCGATAAACGTTTGCGTAAGCTTGTGATTGGTGACTTAAATTTTATATTCTCTTGTAGATGAACACTGTTTGGGTGTCGTGCGAGGGCGAGAACTCCGCTGACATTGAAAACATTGGACCGGTCAAGTACTACCCCCGCCGTGGATTCCCAGGATACTACTACCCATATGAGAACTCGGAGGGCTATCTGAGCCCACTGGTTGCGGTACATTTTGAGCGTCCGATTCGTAAGTATCGTAGAAGTTACATGTGATAAACAATAATAATAGTTTACTGAAGTGGGGCCTTCTAATTGAACGGGGCATAATATGCACCGATTTTATTCAAGTACCAAATACTCACCATTCCAAGGGCTTTTCGCATTATCTGTACACAGTTCGAAAAAGTTGTATAAATTTAATTTTGCTAGCGAGTTGTGCCAGCTTACCTTGCTAGGCTAACGTTAATGCATTCCATGTTCCAATTCTTGTCCGTCGTTAAATCAGTTAGCTGTCTTTTTATGTTGATTTCTGTAACAATGTGTGGAATTCGGTGGTTGGCCTAGGTTCTCATAAAGGTGATAATGATAATGTAGATAAACTCGCATTATCAAAGATACCCTGTTTTACGGTACTTTGCTTGAAGTCATCTGGACTTTAATCCCTACAAACCTGCCATGGACGGCTTCAGATAGTCTAGTCAGTAAAGGCACTAGATTAGAAAATGGACAAATAGGATTCGAGGTACATCACTTAGTAATATGTTTCGAGTTCATTTTCAGTTTGGCCCTCGAAGAGTTAATCACTGTGGAAGTTCATCTAGAACACTAAATTGAGAGCCAGCAAAACGCTTGCAAAAGAAGCGCGAAAAGCCAAGAAAAACAAGAAGAAACCTACCATTTTGAATCTCCCGAAGGTCGAAATGCCCTGAAATACTCTGAGCTTGTCGCCGAGAACTACTGCTTGTGAAGTGCTCCAAATTTATCCAAAATGGTCTCTTTTGTTCAATTGATTAAACGGCAAGTTCTCTAGATTTATACTCGACACTTGAAGAACATGTTTGGATTGCAAAGTTTCCTGCAAAGGCATAGTGAAGATATCGAAGTGTTGATGAAATTCTGTGTCCAGATCCGAGTCTTGTCTGTGGCATGCAAGAGACCCTTTTGAGACTTTGCGGGATGTTAGAGTTCGGTTAGATTTGCTATTGAAACACTTTGATTTCTGAGATTCGCGGAGTATGTCTTCAAATTGTATGGAAATTCTAAAGAATAGTGTATTCCCATGCGTTGATTTTTGAATGCACAACTCATGCAATTTTTTTTTTTAAATTTCGAGACTGATATATTAGAGCGTCACATTTGACATAAAATAAATCATGAAATTTAGCTCGATCAATCGTATTTTTCGCGATGTACATTTTTTTTTTGTCTCGGCACACATAACTTGACATGGCATGTATGTTTACCATAACCATTAACCGTGCCAAAAATCATTTCCGTCACGAATAATATTAGTAATTTCTAAGTGTGTGTCCTAAATTTATACTTCATGTGTTTCGGTAATTCAGGGGACGCCGAGAGGAAATCTGGAGCACTGATAGAAAATTCCGATGAACTTCTTGGCAGGGTTTGTATGAAGGTTCTGATGAAATGTAATTGGGCATCCATCTCAGATATTATAGGAGGGTTTGGGGTGCATGTAAGTAACCGGGTCAGGATGATCTGAGAAGGATGCACCAGTGAATATTCCCAAATGAGCCTGTTCCCCTTGATTGTAACCATGTCGTGATCCAGCAATTCCATACGGAGTTCGTTACCGCATGAAAGCTGTTCTTGATCGCTGGCTTCACGCCAGTGGACCATCATAACTTAAACGAGCTCTAGATCGACCAAGCACAACCAGGAATCTATTCGCCTCCACGGGGAAGGACAGTACCCTCGTGCTTCTGCAGGTTAGATTTGGTGAGCTTTATTAACTGACAGAACCTGAAGGGTGCAAATTGCGTAGCGTTGCTGTGGCACAGCACGCCTGTCCCGTTGCCGAAAAACGAGCTTGTTCACAGCATCGACACACACTTTGAACAGTGATTCCCGATACAATACAGGAGATTCTCTTTAAGCGTGGAATATTTTTAAATAGTCCCCAATCCACTAACTGGGCTCAACGCAGACGCTATTTTGGACATCCAGGCCCTGTTGCATGCCTTGACGATATCCACAGGTCTACATATTGATTATCGTCTATACAATGCATCCCTGACTACAGACTAAATAGGCGGCAGTTCCGTGTCTTGGGAGAAAGGCGTGTTAGTGATGGTCAAGGTCGCTGTTGCGCTCCACCTAGAAACCGAGTCTACGGTTAACCACACAGAAAAAAATCTGAATTTTAACTATCGCGTAAAATCTCCCTTCGTTTAATTTTGAGCTATACTTGGCATAAACAGCGAAATCGTTTACAAGCTTGCATGCAATTTTGCTAATTTATGCGATATTACGCTTAAATTTACACGAAATATTGCGTTAATTTATGTCAAATCTAGCGTTAATTTTATGTGCGAACGGTGCATGACCATACTTTCCAGCACCTTGTTGACAATGCACAGTGGTCCAGGATGGAAATACAGCAGGACAGTAATCCTAGTACTTTAGTTTTAAGTGTTAGCCGTTTGTTGTGTTCGGTAAATCATACATCAGGGTGATCCTAAATTTAATTGGTATACAAAACCTAAGCTTTTTGTTATTGAAAATAAAGAAACATGTTTTCGAGAAATTTGCCTTTAGGTAATTGTTTACGTTTGGTTGTTCCACCTATGTCAATTGTTGGTCTAGAATTTTAAACTTAGTTCATGCCTTGCTATCACCATGGTTTAACGAAGAGATCCGTCCATCCGAGTATGACCATTGAAAACTATCTGGCAACACTGAATGCTCCATATCACAGTGGTAAGGTAACTGCCTTCTATCATTTCATGAATTTGCTTATCAGAAACGTAGCTTAAAATCATCAGAAGCAATGAAAAAAGCAGTGGCGTCGCCCTAACCTCAATCTACCTGATCAACAAGTCTCAAAGCGCAAACAAATTAAAAGTTATTGTTTTAAATCGATACCAAATAGTGAAACTAGAAGACCCTATGCATTTTGGGATCGATTTTAATAAAGTTATGGCTCTAAATTACGTTTTCAAAGTCGTTGAACAGGTAAAAAGTGAGTTTATGAGACACCTCTGGAAAAAAAAGTCCTATGTATATTGACCGATTCTCTTCATGGACTTTTTGATACTTACGACTACGTACATTTTGGTTTTTTTTTATCGAACTGTGTCGAAAATAACCGAAAATACATTCAAAATTCTTATAGTACGGATTAGTTCTTGCCGGATTCCTATAGTACCAGTGGCATCCCGTAACCTCACTTCCCTGTGCACCAACTTTCAAACCCACTGGATTCCTATAATACGGTCGATCCGGCTTTAACGAATACACGTACCACATGGTATTTGAGCTAATTGCGGCCAAACACTGATTGTACGACAATTTGAAGCGGTAACTTCCTGATTTCTTGGAAGAAGTTGTTAAGCAGATAGTTGGAAATCTTTTGGGAATATTCAGTTTCCGGTAGGTCACAAGAATGGTCCTATGAAAAATCCGGAATATCCGTAAAAGTGGTCAATGCATAAAACTGATCCTACAGCTCCGCAGATTTTTCGAAAACACTCATAAACGTCTCATCAGAATGAATTCGGAGTTACGAACGAAATATAGACTCTGGGGACCATTATACGGTCCACTAAAAGATCCGGAACATCCGTTAAAGTGCTCAATTCATGAAACTGATCCTGGGGTCCGATGGAAGATCCGAAATATCCGCAAAAGTGATAATTCATGAATCTGATCCTAAAACTCCACGGCTATTTCGAAAACACTCATAGACATATCATGAAAATTGATTCAGAGTTCTGACCGGAATATGGACTCTGGGGACTACGGAATAGTCCACCGGAAGATCCTGAACCTCTGTAAAAGTGGTCCATTCATGAAACGGATCCTAGAGCTCCGTATTTTTTTTTTTTTTCGATACCTCTTAAGACGTCTAATCAGAATGAATTCGAAGTTGTGACCGGAATATGGACTCTGAAGACCCTGGGATGGTCCACCGGAAGACCCGAGGGAACATCCGTAACAGTGATCAATTTATGAAACTGATCCTAGAGCTCCGTATATTTTTTAAACCACCCATAAACGTCTTATCAGAATGAATTTGAAGTATGACCGAAATACCGTTCCGATTCAAATTTCAGACGATTCAAATTTCGGACACTTTCATTTTTAATTAAATATTACATCCAGTTAGAAACAAAGTAATAATGTTAGATGATCGTGGAGGGCACTCAGACTAAAAGTGTATTTTTTAGAGAAATTCGTGGATGTATGATTCATATTTCGGTTACAACTCTGAAGTAATTGTGATAAGATGTCTTTCGAAGAACCACTGAGCACTAGAATCAGTTTCATAAATCTATCACTTTTACGGATGTTCCGGATCTTCTAGTGGCCCATTCCGTAGTCTTCAGCGTCCATAGTCTGGTCACAACTTCGAATTAATTCTAATCCTACAATAGCATATCAGTCCCATATGGATTTTCGTCATGTTTAAGATTATAACGCTATCCACTCTACTTTCATATTATGTGATAAAACTACGGACTTCGATCATGAAAAATGTGAAAACAACATCAAGTCAGTTTGTCCCAAATAATCGCAATAGTGGATAGCGTTATGATCTCAAACATGACTAAAATCCTTATGGGACTAATATGCGATTATAAGCAGTAGAGATCCGTGTTTTTTTTTTCGAACCTGCTCATAGACGTCTTATCAGAATTACTTCGGAGTTGTGATACGAATATGAACCCAGGGGACCACGTAATGATCCTCCGGAAGAACCAAAACATCCTAAAAGAGGTCATTTTATGAAAATGATCATAGAGCTCAACGGATTTCTCGAAACATCTCGTAGACGTCTTATCAGAATTAATTTGAAGTTGTGACCAGAATATGCGCGCTGAGGACTACGGATTGGCCCAGAACATCCGTAAAAGTGATCAATTTATGAAACATAGTCACCCCTATTCTGTATTTCGTTTCGAACGAAATTCTCATACAAAAAAATATTTTTTTGTATAGGAATTTCGTTTCGAACGAAATACAGAATAGGGGTGAGTATTAGACTGATGCAAAATTTGACTTTTTCGCTCCACAGTGCTAAAATGGTTTCAAATCGGGTCCTGATTAGCCTCCCAAAGTTACAGCTCATTTGGTTAGAAACAGACTTCGCACAAGCCATTTGAAGTTTCCATGTAAATTACTATGGGAAATCTCAACTTTTTGTTCATTGCCTTCTAGTCTTTTACCATATTGAGCTGCAAAACGGTTCGATAGCCATTCTTATAGAAAATTTTCTCAGCTACAACTTTGCTCAAGATCGTTTCTATGTAAAACGAGACAGGAAAAAGTTATTAATTATTTAAGAGATTGGTAAACTTATGACATCATCAAGCAGCTGCTCTGTAGGCAACACTGTATTTTGCAGTGTGACATAGTAGCCATGATTTTTGTGTCCTATTCAACGCCCCAGAAACACCAATGTTGCCTGCTGAGCAGTTGATTGAGCATGATCATAAGACATCAGTGCATTGAACCATTGATAACTTTCGATCCTTGCACTTAATCAAAAAGTGGTCTTGAGCAAAGTTGTAGCTGGGAAAATTTCCTACAAGTACAATTGAAAGTTTTGGAAGCAGACCGATATGGTGAATTATTAGATAGACATGAACAAAAATCTTGGTTTTACCATAGTAATTCCCATACAAACTTCAAATGGTTTGTGCCATCTCAGTTTCTCACCAAATTGGTTCAAATTTTGAGAGGTTAGTCAAGATCCGATTTAGAATCGTTTAAGTATTGGGGAGCGAAAAAGTCAAATTTTGCATCAGTCTAGTGAGTATATATGCTATGTTAGTGTATTTAGTTTGCATCCTCAACAGACAATCATGAAAACGGTTTACAACATAACCTTAATACATATGTCTCCCTCTCTCTTTCTGACTACTCTACAGGTGGAATCATCATCAACATCGAGTGCAAGGCATGGGCCCGTAACATCAAGCACGACAGACACGAACGACTGGGATCGGTTCACTTTGAGCTGCTGATCGATTAAGCAAGCCAGAAAAACAAAAACCAACTAGATGCACCCATCCCCCAGGTGCTATCCACATTTCTATCGTGCAGCTACCCAGCCCCACCCGTTCAAATTAAACCGCTAGATAGCATGTAAACCCGTTTTCAAAACTCAGTCAAATTTACTAATCTACGGCTTCTTCTTACGATGTTTTTAAACATACGCCATTGTTCTACGAAATTTTACCACCCAATTTTTTCAATGTTATGAATTTTAAAAATGCTACCTTTACCATACGCTTGTTTGTTAAAGCCCTTGGAAGAAAAACATTATTAGGCGATCGCTCCGATCTTCCTAAAATAAAAAGAAAGTGAAAGAACCAAAATCAACACACTCAAAAAGACGTTAAAAAAAAGTAATCTGTCTATTAGGGAAGTAAAACGTTGTGCTTGTATTTTAATGATTGTAAATAATAAATGGAAGTCCAAAGCGTTAATTAGCCATCACCTGAATTACCGCACATGAAGTTGAAGATTCCAATTGAAATGACTGGTGCGGTACAGTCCAAGCACACAGATCCGTTCAACCGATCATGCAGCCGATAGCCAAGATTTATGTATGTTTCTTCTCATCTTGAACAACTGCCAATTCAATAATGGTTCACCTCTATAAATACTTGACGGCCATCGTCTCGCCGCAGCGCAAATGAGGAGTCCCGAAAAAGTCTCACACTGCAAATGCTACATATCATTTGAATAGCACAATTTTGGATCGTTGTTCAAAACCGGAATCAACCCGATTACATTTAGCTCAGAGATCTTCGTTATTTAAATGCTAGAATCAAGACAATTTCAAGACACACATAAACAAGCAATCAAGTCAAGCACCGTAGAATCAAAAACCGATAGTTACGATAGATAATTTAATTTAAAAATGAAATAAGAGAAAGTATTATTCACCGTGGCAATATAGTTATGATCGACCAATTTTTCAGTGTTAAATAAAAAACAAAAAGTGCCAATACATACTTCATATACCAATGTTGAATTTATGGTACGATGCCAAGACATTCACGTCTCTATTTGATACGATCATTCGCAGTTCCGACAACATCTCGTTCAACCACATATTACCAATTAAAATTCGTCCTCTACCTAATACTTTCACTTTTCGCATTTAAAATCTCGATGTTGTTCGTGTTTCTGAAGATTGTTTGTGGTAATACGGTTTTATTGTTTCAAACAAAAAAATTAAAGATTGCGTCCTTGGAATCAAAATTCCACGTTTTATGTAATTCGTTTCTTAAGATGTAAGTTTTTTTTTTTTATTATCAGAAATCAGTTAATTGGTGTGCTTCGGGTTAAACTTTCGCTCGCTCGTGGAGAATCATATTCGAATATCAAGTATATTCAGTCTACAAAACTTCAACTCAAGGATGCTCTGTCAATGGAAAGTAGAGAAATAAATGATAGAAAAAAAATAACTGGTCTTTGGTGTACTTATTTGTTTGAGGGACGTATATTTCAACCTGCGCGGTATGAATCCGAAACTTTCCTGAAAAATAGATCATGTTGATGGTGACTTTGCTAGAATTGACTTCAGCGGAATTGTAACCCCCCCCCCCCCCCCCCCCTTTCGCTTAAAGCTGATTGAGTACCACCGTAGATATTTTGTCAGGAATGTCTCGTGAATTAGGAACACGTGTTTAACCGCTGTAAACATTAGACTAAAATATTTTGGTTGATCATCATGGATTCTGTCTGAATTACAATTTATATCTTTACTTGTAATCAGGTCGATTTTGTTTGCTAACCTGGTTAAGACGTTTTTAATTATAGCGGATTTATGTGTTTATCCCCAGTTCCAACCCAGTGCGAAACCGAACTTTTGTCAGTGCGAACCTTAGATGTATTTTTATTTGGACTATAGGCTGTAAGCCCGTTACCCTACTTTATAACTAGACACAAAGTACATGTTTCACATATTACATATTTTGCTGGTTTCTTAAAAATAACCTAAGTCTACTTCGAATCACTTCTAGCGTTATATTTGTAGAAATTACATATTGTAGTCTGTTGAATTCACTCATAAATCTGCTTTTAGGCTCGTGCTGCGTGTAGTTTTGTTTACCTCACCGGAGGATCGAACACCCTTCGGCGACGAAGAGAAACTGCCCAAGTAACAATTCTGCAATCATTTGGCATCCACTCTGATTTATGATGGTTTTATAATGGCAATGAATAATCCATTTAGTTTAAATAGAGCATTTCACAATGTAAAACGTTCATGCTTAGTAGTTCACCTTTTTGCTGTTTTTCAAAACCTTTTAAAAGTCTGGCGAGAAGTCAAAAACTATCTTGTTTTAAAATTAAATTTAAAGTAGTTCTCAATCCCACCATAAAACTGTTCTAAAAATCAATCATAAACTTCATTAGCAATTTTTTATTAATGCCTTGATAAAATACTCTATAAACCTGTTCTATCATTTTCAAAGCAATCATAAAACCATTCGATTTTAAATGAGAGTAAAATGCATATATTGTTGCCTTTTAGGATTTTCAAAGTGTATCATAAAATCTCCTCTGTTTACAAATTGAACTTTAAGGATGGATCCTCATAGTGAATAAAAACCAAATTTATGACAAGGATATCTCGAAGGATAAACGAAGTTGGAGGAAAAATTCAAGCGATCCTAACAAGCGAAGGGAAGTCGATTTCAGTAAAATTTAGTTCTTTAGAAGAACCAGCACATCCGGCGGAACGGGTACCATCAACGACTGAGCATCTGGTGGAGAAGAGTGAAGTGAGCGTGGTCCTCAAATTCATAAAATCACAGTCTGAAAACAGACCAGCCTTCTCCAGACCTTGCGAATAGATGAAGACCGGAATAACTTGCGTCAGTACCGACAGCAAACCACTGAAACTGTGTTTGAAGGTGCACTTCCAGAACCATCCGGAAGAAGGGGATCTTTTCGGGAATGATCAAGGTTACAGCTGTGCGAAATGCGAAATGTTGTGAACACTTTCTAATGTCGTTTTCGTTTTTGCGGTGTAGCTACACCGGTGCTACACTGCCGTACACCGAAATATTTTAGGGTGTAGATATAGGATGCATCTTTGTTTACAAACAAATGATGTTGAGCTGTCAAAGGCTCGCGGTTATTCCTGCTTACGCTACACCAGTGCTACACCGCAAAAACGAAAACGACATAAGTAACTGCTGCCAAGCCATCGGGAGAGTATCGCCTGGTAGAACGCTGAATCGCACAGCACAACTATCGAAAGATAAACAAACTTTGACGTTTAACATTTTGTAGGCAACATTGCCGCCATAAATGCTGCCATAAATCTGAACAGGATCAAGCGAAATGGCTTTAGATAAATACAATACAGTCTACAAGTTTTCTTCATAAAACCCAATTCAAAACCTAATGAATTTGTCAAGGATTTCTTGAAAGCAAAATAACTTTGTCACAAATGGTCCATGAAAATCAACTTTTATGCCTCTGCCATATCACAATTATTTTGTTTGTTTTTTTTTACAATCTTCGATTTTCAATCTATATTTCCTTGGAAAGGATAGAGAACTACTTCGGTCTAATCGCCCATTTTGGGCCTATCGAGCAGAAAATTTCAAATAAATTCATGATTTCAGAGTTAACAAGTCTATTATGCGTTTGGTGCGATACTTTAGTTAATAAGCTACGAAACGAAGTCAATGAGAACGCGTGATATGAAGGTTTGCACCCATTATTCCCAAAAACAAAAGAAGCGCTCGTAGCGAATCAATTTTTATCTTCATCCGATAGGCCGAAGTGAATTCATTGTCGTTTCAATGCGTTAAATGGACCCTACACGATTGCTTTTATTGACAATAATCGTATTGTCAATACATTCAGTATTGACGTCAATACATCGGTATTGACAATATTTCTGTATTCACATCATCAATATTATTGTCAATAATTCCCCTTCGTGTCAATATATTAATACGTGTGGGGTTGGCTTTAAGCAAACCCCACACGCATCAATATATTGACGCGAAGGGGAATTATTGACAATATTATTGATGATGTGAATTCAGAAATATTGTCAATCTCGATGTATTGACGTCAATATAGAATGTATTGACAATACGATTATTGTCAATAAAAGCAATCGTGTAGGGTCCACTTTAGGCCGAGTTTAGAATCCGTAAGCCGAGTTTGGATGCAAGAAGCAGTGTTAGACTTTTGACAATATCTCAACGATTGGTTTTTCTTTATCAAATCTTACGGTACGTACGGAAAGGTAAATAAATTGTGAAAGCATCAGTAATAATAACATTCCGTTTGGTGCTAAACTGCGCTACATTAAGAAAGACTAAGTGGGGGTTATGCTTAATAGGCCGGAAATGGGGTAGTTAACCCTATTACTTTATTTTAGTTAATTTAGCAATGAGAAAATATTTGAAAGGCAAAAATCATGAGAAATAAAAATCTCGGCTAAGCTTAATGATCGATCTGAAGAATATATTTTTTTCTCTTAATGTTAAATAATTATTAAAATCTATGTTTTCCGAGGGCGGACTCAAGTTTTTCGATGTTTTCACGTACATTTCACATCAAATATTATAAACTAGGCCACTTCATGAAAACTATTTTATTATTTTTGAAATTTGGCTGGATTTTTATACGATTAGTTTTAATGTTAATTATTTTGATAAGATCGGATGGTATTTATGAATCCTTTTTTATCTTGATTGTTATTTTTCTAGTGAACTTAGCAAGCAGCTAGGGTAAATGGCTCGGATGATGGTTTTAATTGTTGCCAAATAGCTTTTATTGTAGCTTAAATACGGTTTTGAAATGGATCTCGCGACAATTCATGTAAGCATAATTGACCACCGCTTACGCGTATCTCTTTCAGATCTTCTAAAAAATTTCCTGCACTAATATGGAGTTCCAAGCAACTTCTCAAAATGCTACGAAAATCCCAAAACTTCTTCAAATTTTGCTGCATTTTAACGTTTCTCGTTGATTTTCCGCGGAGTTCCACGTATGAAATTTCTTGAACTTGTACGTACTTCTTTGAACTATTCCAAGCTCATGAGGCTTCAAAAAAGTATCTTGAAATTATTTGAAGATTAAACGATGTTTAACTTCTACGAAGACCGCAAAATTAAGTTATAGAGTTTCTACACTCAACCGGGGGATGTAAGATTCGCTTACAATTATGTGGGATTCATCATCAGAGGATGTTAGTGGAGACCGCATGAACCGAGGATGCGATATACCTAGCTGCGGTCGAATGCAAGAAAATTGAAGACCGAAAAATGTAGAGTGTATTAGTGAGGTAAATTAGTTATGTCGAAAAAAACTGGAAACAGACTGCCGGCTGGACTCAAACCACGAACGTTACGATTATCAGACCTGTGCTTTCTCCACTGCTCTCTCCGTGCTCCTGAATTTGGATAGCCTAAAAGCAAACATGAAGCGCTCATTTTCTCGCATACTCGACTTCGTATGCTTTTTCTGCTGGAGAGATTCGAGGCAAGTGTGTGCGTTGTTCTACAATGTTCTACAATGTGCGTCGTTCTACAAGCTTACTGGTATAGTCGAGAGCGTAGATAGAACACGAAATAAAAAAGACAAAAAACCATTACATCGCCTGCATGGTCAATTCCTAACATTCGTTGCGATGTTCATGAACAGAGGATGATAGGAAACGGAACTAACATTCATTGTAATAGATTTTAATCCCAGAAAAATAGCTGTGAGAATTTTGTATTTATTGCAAATTACATGAACTGGATGATTTTATTATATTTTTTTAATTTTGGTTAGAGTCAATCAGAGTGACTTCCATTCATTTCGCATAACAAAATGGTTTATAAGATAATGGAACCATAAGATATTATAATGATCGACGATCAACTATATTGCAACGCATTCTTTATAACCTCTTTTTGTAACAAACAATCAAAAGTTCCGCATTCAACGATAAAGTTCAAATAAAGTCCCAACAGAAAATTCTTTCCAAGCAACC